CTTCATTGGCCGGCCAAGGAGAGCCACCTGTCTTCTTCGCCTAACCGTCTTCAGCATCATCTTCTCAGTCGCTGTCTCTTCTGTCTTGGCCAAAACGATCACTGTGGTGCTTGCCTTTCTAGCAACAAAGCCAGGGAACCGAGTGAGGAGATGGCTGGGGAAAGGTTTGGCCAATTCCATCATTCTTTCCTGTTCCAGCATCCAGGTCATCCTTTGTTCCATCTGGTTAGGAGTCTTTCCCCCATTCCCTGATTCTGACATGCATTCACAGCCTGGAGAGATCGTTCTGCAGTGCAACGAAGGTTCTGCTCTCATGTTTTACATTGCTCTCACCTACATGGGTTTGCTAGCTGCCATCGGCTTCACAGTGGCTTTCCTGGCTAGGAAGCTGCCTGGGGCCTTCAACGAAACCAAGCTGATCACCTTCAGCATGCTGGTCTTCTGCAGCGTTTGGATCTCCTTTGTGCCTACCTACCTGAGCACCAAGGGCAAGTACATGGTGGCCGTGCAGGTCTTCTCCATCTTGGCTTCCAGCGCTGGCCTACTGTGCTGCATCTTCATCCCCAAGTGCTACATCATTGTGCTTAGACCAGAACTGAATACAAAGGACCAACTGATACTTAAAAGTGAAATAGGAAAGTGATTCTCATGAAACTTCCTTGGCAGTATAATTCTCACCCAGTGTTTTAGATCATTAATTATTTTAGGGGAATAGACTATTTCTCGAGTTCTTCTCTAAGGGATCTCATTGTGCTAAAGCCTAATTTCCATCTCTTTATGAATCAATGTCTTGTAAAAAACAATGCTGCAATATATAAGCTGTGTTTTAGTATGACCTCTATCCTATCATTATGCATGGTACTTTTTACTAAACAGGCCCAGCAAACTGAACCTAGTTTCCTCTTGTGTTGTAATGGTATGTGGGAATGACCTTGGGAGACAGGAAAAGATGCTGCCTAGGGAACAATCAGATAAAAGTGTGGAGAAGCCCAAAGCTCCATAATGGACACAGAAAGGTACTTTCAGGCTTGCAAGATTCTGTTAATGTAGCCTCATAATAAAGTAGAATTAGCTCATCTGTCGTGCTTCCTGTCTGGTCTACCTGGGAAGGCTAACAGGTGTGTCACTTTAAGCCACAGCTCCTGGCATTGGAGACTCTTCAGCTGACTGCCTCTTTCAATACTGTCCATTCCACAAACCTATGGTGCTCACAGCAACATGTAGCATCTTGATGCTCACAGAAGGACTGCATTGAAAGCATTGGGAGAGCCTCAAAGAATGACGTCTTTCCCCACGGCCTTACACTATTCACACAACATGTTGCAATACAGCTGGGAATTCTATTCCTCAGTGGATTACAAAAATGTAGACTAGCACAAAGGTATCTTGAAAAAACACTCTCACTACTACAGTTCTCCTCACTAATCCATTTTGTAGTCAGGGGCATCCACAAGGAGATTCAAATAATCAAGATGGTGGTCACAACCACATGATCCAATCCCTGCCCCTTTCATATATTGTTCAATGTCAGTATGACAATATATGAAAAGAAAGGGGTTTGATCACACAGTTATAATTACCATCTTGACTTTGACATTCCCCCATGGACACCCTTAATTGTAGTATAGAGAGGAATGTGCATTTTCAATTACTTGGTCTTGTGGTGCCTTGCAGAAACTGTGGGAGAAACAAGCCAAAATCTTGGCTTGTTTCCCCCATCCATGGGAGGAGATGGGGGACTTTCACCCAAAAACACAAACAAACTAGGCCAAAGTTATCAGCCTCCCTCCTTGACACACTGAAAGAGTTACATCAGCTGTTCTCCAACTGGGTCCCAGCCTATGGCCTCCCATAGAATGAAGGATTTTGTAGAGCTCATCCTGCTCCTTGTAATTATTAGAATGACAGTGATTTACTTTTCTGCATGCAAAATCTCAGGGGAATTTTTCCCTCCAGAAATTACCCTTGAGATATAAGCAACAGGAGCAAGAGCAACATCTTGAAATATCTGCCATGAGAAAAGTTGGGGACATAAATGTGTCTTATGCCTCTGAAAAGTTAGCTTGAGCTTCACAGCCAGCAGGAGTTCTTGTCTCCCTCAAGTCTCCCTCACTTGGGAGGTTCTTGCTAATGTGTGTTTGAAAAGCTGCTGAAATTGAAAAGCCACAAAGTCAGACCACAAATGGTCCTACTTCTTCTGCTTCTGATGTTGCTGATCCTGTTGCCCCAGGCAGTCTATGGGATGCCCAGTGCCAAATGCCTCTTGATTTTGTAGAGGGATGAAGTAGACCTGCTCAATCATTACAACCCAGGAGACCATCTCATCACTGGAGTCTTGTCTGCAATAAACACTCCTAATATTAAGCCATAAAATTTCAGGTTGATTCCTACTACAAATGTTTATGAGTAAGTTATAGAGTGTACAATGATGTTACTGTTACTCTACACTGATTTAAAGACCTACCACGATTCCCCTAATGTCTACCTCTAGGTGTCTTTGTTATGATACTTTTAGTAAATTATTATGTTGCTTTTCAGGAAAAATTGGGCACTTTTTACATTTTATAGGTCTGGATGCAAAGAACCATTCTTGAAATCACTTCAGGTTAATTGTATAATATAGCAGAACAAACTCAGTAGATAAAATACAAGCAAGCTTTAATTCTCAGCACCCTTGTACCAAACTGATCCCTACCTGTACAATCTGTTTTGATTGTTCAAGGTGATCAGCCTGGCAGGTCATGGTCATGGTTTCAACCAGTCCATCAAAGAGAAGGACAAGAAAGAGCTGGACAGACCAGATGAGAGAAAATGCTGGCTTCCTTCCTTTCCTACAAGACAGTTCTGTATCTTTCAGAAGGACAGTATCTGCAAACCTTAGGACATCAACAGCCACCTGTGTTTCCTCCAGAGGTTCTGCCCAGATGTTCAGTCATGGCTTTCCTCAATAGTCCACCAATTCCCCCAAATTCCTCACTGCCAGATCAACAGCTACCTGTTGCTTTTCAGATGTAGGCAAGGGCACTAGGTTAGGGTGAGAATGGAGCCCAGCAAAAGTGGGGTGCAAATGTATGCTGGGAGTATTGTTATTGGGGCATGGTGAGGTGTAGCACTGATGTTAGTGCAATGCTGTTTTTATTTTTTTATGCTGTATTGCTTTTGCTGTGAACCACCCAGGATTATTGTACATAAGATGGGTGGCCATCTAAGTCAAATAAATAAATAAAATTTAGTTCCACTGATACCAAGGGGTTAGAGTCCAGACATCCCTGCAGCTGTCCAGGTGAGGTTTCATCCATTCATCCATGCTTCCACCAAGCCATATATAGTAGTTCATCTCCTTCTCTATTATCTCCTGATCAACAGCTCCCTAGCTTCTTCTCAAGAGCCTCTGCTGCACCATTCTTCTTCCAGATCTCAGCCTCTTTTCCTTCTCATCCCAACACTAGCGAGGAATCTGCCTGGGGTCTTCAATGAAGCCAAGCTGATCACCTTCAGCATGCTTATCTTCTGCAGCGTTTGGAATTCCTTTGTGCCCACTTACCTGAGCACCAAGAGGAAGTATATGGTGGTCATGCAGGTCTTCTCCATCTTGGTTTCCAGTGCTGGCCTGCTGAGATGTATCTTCATCCCCAAATGCTACTTTATTTTACTACGTCCAGATCTGAATACAAAGGAGAAGCTAATATTGAAAAATGAAATAGGAAACTGATTCTAATGCAATTTTCTTGGCAGTATAATTCCCACCCAGTGTTTTAGATCATTAATTATTTTTCAGGGAAAATACTATTTCTCAGGCTGCTTTTCTAAGTGATTACATAGAGAGGATTTCCTTACCCAAAAGCTGAACAATTTCTATTTATTTATATCTCTGTGTGTGATAGGAGAAAGGTATCCAGCACTATTCAATTATTTATGACATTTATATTCTGCTCCACTCAGAAGGACTTTCAGCAGCTCACAACAATAGCCATACCCAATCACAATATAAGAACAAAATATAATTAAAACACACACACACACACACACAAGAATACTTGGCATCAGGCCCCAAAAGGTATCTGGGAAAGTTCTGTCTTCAACTTTTTCTGGAAGGCAGATAATGTTGGAGATAAAGAAACCTCCAACGGAAGGCCCATTTAGAAGACTGGCCCCATCACTGAAAAACAGCACTTCCAGGCTTCAGCCCCCCCTGACCTTCCAAAATTGGAAACAACCAACTGCTTCTCCCAGCACAACCAAAGTTATTGGATTTTTTCCTAGTGGCCCTGTAGATAACCTGGTGCCAAGCCATAAAAGCCTCTAAAGGTTAAAATCACTTTAAATTGCACCTGTCAGCACAGGCCCTGTAAGACAGGTGTAATAAGCCATGTCTTTTTAAGAGCTGAAGGACAATGGATCTGTCCCAGATTACTGAGGGCCCAACATGTATTGGAGGTCACACACTTGTTGTTGTTGTTTAGTCGTTAAGTCGTGTCCGACTCTCCGTGACCCCATGAACCATA